GAGGTGCATGTGAATATACAATTGTCTGAAAAAATTTAGTTAGAAAGTTCAGTGTGCCACGAACATAGCCACTCCTATAACCCTACTTGGGAGGTAGAGATCATAGTTGGGTGGCCAGCCTGGGCATAATAGTTTGTGAGACTCCATCTCCGCCATGGTGATGCATACCTGTCATCCACCTCTGCAACAATCAAGAGAAACACAAATAGCAGGACTGCAGTCCAAGCTGGTCAGCACATAAAGTAAGACTATCTTGAAAATAACCAATACTGGACTGGGATGGTGGATCAAGTGGTAGAGCTCCTGCTTAGCAGTGCAAGGCCCTGAGCTCAAAGCCCAATGCAGAAAGTTCTCCTCCCTTCGTGCCACACACCGGCTCCACGGCCTGCTGCTCTGCTCCCCAGGAAAGGGCCTGTGCACCAACACTCACGTCCTTGTCCCTTGCACACTAGCCTCCTCTCTCAGGGGTCCGACACCATGACTGAGTCTGTTCCTGTCAAGATGAGGGCTGGAACCAGGACCTTGGGTTTGATCCTCAGAACCAGAGGGAAGAACAAACTCCCTTGTCAAGTTTACCTACAGCCTTCATCCTGTCACAGGCAATAGTCAGAGTTTTTCTTTCCCTCTCCTCTGACCTGGCTCAGTGGTCGCCTTCCTGAAACTCTGCTGACCTTTCCCGCTGGCCTCTGAACGGAATCTCTCAGAGTGAGTCTGTGGCTTGTCTTCATTATACTCACTATTGGGTGGTGTCTACTGCTCCACAAGTCTGAATACTACTCATGAGCCAATAACTCCAAATGCATACCCTCAGCCTCTGTCCCACCAAGATGCCTCCCATAAGCCCAACATTTCCTCTTTAGTGAACACAGTTAACAACTGCATGGCACTGAGAACACTGCCCTTTGCTAAACCAAAGCCAGGCAGACACCTTGCTTCCAATTCTCCTCTTCTCAGCAAAAACCCTAAATTTCCCAAATAACTCAAGTCAGATCATGTTTCCTTTACACACGATCCCTGTACACTGGACATCTATTCATGTAAACATCACAACGCAGTGCTCACATCTGTGTATCTGAACCCTTCTTTCTTGAGATCTACACCTAGCTAATACAATGAACACCAGCAAAATGCCACACAGCACATGTCTCCCTCCCCCTGTGATGTAACACACGTCCTCCCTCCCCCCTGTGATGTAACACACGTCCTCCCTCCCCCCTGTGATGTAACACACGTCCTCCCTCCCCCCTGTGATGTAACACACGTCCTCCCTCCCCCCTGTGATGTAACACACGCCCTCCCTCCCTCCCCCCTGTGATGTAACACACGTCCTCCCTCCCCCCCTGTGATGTAACACACGTCCTCCCTCCCCCCTGTGATGTAACACACGTCCTACCTCCCTCCCCCCTGTGATGTAACACACGTCCTCCCTCCCCCCTGTGATGTAACACACGCCCTCCCTCCCTCCCCCCTGTGATGTAACACACGTCCTCCCTCCCTCCCCCCTGTGATGTAACACACGTCCTCCCTCCCCCCCTGTGATGTAACACACGTCCTCCCTCCCCCCTGTGATGTAACACACGTCCTCCCTCCCCCCTGTGATGTAACACACGTCCTCCCTCCCCCCTGTGATGTAACACACGCCCTCCCTCCCCCCTGTGATGTAACACACGTCCTCCCTCCCCCCCTGTGATGTAACACACGTCCTCCCTCCCTCCCCCCCGTGATGTAACACACGCCCTCCCTCCCCCCTGTGATGTAACACACGTCCTCCCTCCCCCCTGTGATGTAACACACGTCCTCCCTCCCTCCCCCCCCCGTGATGTAACACACGCCCTCCCTCCCCCCTGTGATGTAACACACGTCCTCCCTCCCTCCCCCCTGTGATGTAACACACGTCCTCCCTCCCCCCTGTGATGTAACACACGTCCTCCCTCCCCCCTGTGATGTAACACACGTCCTCCCTCCCTCCCCCCTGTGATGTAACACACGTCCTCCCTCCCTCCCCCCCCGTGATGTAACACACGCCCTCCCTCCCCCCTGTGATGTAACACACGTCCTCCCTCCCTCCCCCCTGTGATGTAACACACGTCCTCCCTCCCCCCTGTGATGTAACACACGCCCTCCCTCCCCCCTGTGATGTAACACACGTCCTCCCTCCCCCCTGTGATGTAACACACGTCCTCCCTCCCCCCTGTGATGTAACACACGTCCTACCTCCCCCCTGTGATGTAACACACGTCCTCCCTCCCCCCTGTGATGTAACACACGTCCTCCCTCCCCCCTGTGATGTAACACACGTCCTCCCTCCCCCCTGTGATGTAACACACGTCCTCCCTCCCCCCGTGATGTAACACACGTCCTCCCCCCCCCCCGTGATGTAACACACGTCCTCCCCCCCTGTGATGTAACACACGCCCTCCCTCCCCCCTGTGATGTAACACACGTCCTCCCTCCCCCCTGTGATGTAACACACGTCCTCCCCCCCTGTGATGTAACACACGTCCTCCCTCCCTCCCCCCTGTGATGTAACACACGCCCTCCCTCCCCCCTGTGATGTAACACACGCCCTCCCTCCCTCCCCCCTGTGATGTAACACACATCCTCTCCCCCTCCCTACCTGTGACCCAGCTCAGCAGCTTCTGCCCAGGTGGAACCCAGGCCCCTGTTTCTGTCACTGGTTTGGAGGTGGAGCAAGACCCTCCCCCAGAGAATCCTTCCCAAGTCCTGTCTGATCTCTGGCAGCCTGAGTGCCCTTCCTGTGTGGCGTTCGCATGGCTGCCGCCTCTGGCTCCTCAGGCAAGCTTGAGGTACGTCCTGCAGGTGTGCACATCTGCTTTCTGGATCTTTCTGGGCCCTTCTTTCTCAGCACCCTGGAACTCCCCACTCCACTTCCCACCACTTCTGTTGGCTTCATGGCCCTGGAGGAGCAGGATGATGCCTGCTCACCACGGAACACACTATCTGGTGGTTTGTGCCTAAGCAGGTGGTCCTCCTCCTCCAGGCATGCTGCCCCGAGGGTGGGGTCCTGCCCTGCCTCCCTGGGCACAGTCAGACAGGGAGTTTGTGTCACCTGGAGCCACTGGCTAAATCCCTGAAAAGTCCTGGTCAAACGGCCCTCACCTGGGTAGGCTGAGAGGAAGCAGCCAGCTTGGAGCTGTTCTTGGGGTCTGCCCCCTCGTGGGAACTGTTCATTAATCGGCCGCAGGGAGAAAGGAGCAGAACCCCTCACCACCGTCCTCGTCACAGCCCCTCCTCTGTCTGTCATCAGACATGACTCACCCAAGGAGAAATCAGGTTCCATGAACCCCGGCCAGCTTTTGCTGAACAACTGCTCTAGCATTTTCTGAGGAGATGAAAGACCAGACCCACAGGCATTTACTGCTGAGTGCCTGACCCAGAGGCCCGTCTTCATGATCCTGAAGGCCATCGCCCTTCCCCCAGGGGCCAGTACTCGTGCTCACCGGAGGGAGGCTGACTCCAGGGCGTGAGGCCCTCCCTCCACACACAGGTGACTGACAGCTCCCGGGGGAGTCAGCACTCTGCCTTGGCCCTACGGCTCCCACCAGCACCCCAAGCGGCACACATCTCCCTGCTACCTACATTAACAGTTGCGGCCACAGCGTCTCAGACCCCTGTGCACCGCATTCTCCACTTTCCCACGTCTTCAAGGCAGTCATCCAACGTTCTCATGCCCTGGTGGCTCACACACCTGACAGGGTGTGAGAGTGGTAACAGGAGGGTCTTCCTCTGAAGAAGAGCCTGGGGTTTGCTCAGGAGCTAGGGTAGAGCCGTCAAGAGCTCCCAGGAGAACAGAAGTGAGAGTGGGATGGGCCGCCAGGTCCCTCCGTGACTGCGACACCCTTGACTTCACCAGGGCCAACAAACCCAGACAGCCGTGAACTGATGAGGGGCACGGGGGAGCTGGGTGGAAATGGAAGCAGACAAAACGCAAAGGAGGCAAATGCATGACGCACAGGCTTCACCCCCAGAAGCAGCGTGAAGGGGATTTCCCGGGCGCAGCCCAGCACAGCCCCGCCAGGCTCCTCACCGGGAAGCCGGGCAGGGGAGACGCCCGCACCTCACATCTGACATCACCCAGAAGACCCTGCACCCCCGCGCTGGGGAAATGAGCGCTCCTCCACGACCCAGGCTCATCATCTTACAAGAGTCTCCAGAGATGCCGTGCAAGCCGGGCCTCGCGTGCGGCAGGCTCACCACACACACGCGCTACTCCAGCACTGCAGCTGGCATCGCCATGGCAACGGCCGCATCTGCTCTGCATCTTTCTTTCTGGCCTCAGTTTCACCTTCATGATGAAGGATTCAGAAGGGCCAAGAGCAAGAGTTTGAGTTGGGACAGACCTCGGGACTCTGATGGAGTTTCTGGTAGAGAGAGGCCCAAGGCCGAGGGCAGGACTATTAGAACTGACCCAATGGGGTCCCAGAGGCACCAGTCCAGAAGCAAGGCGTCCATCCCCTGACCCGGGGCCAAGATGCAACTCACATTGTAGAGGATGTCTGTCCAGCCCTCCATGGTGATGCACTGAAACACTGTCAAGATGGCAAACAGGATGTTGTCAAAGTTGGTGATTCCAAAGTTGGGTCCTGCCCAGTACTCGCGGCACTCTGTGTCCCCCTCACACAGCCGGGCCGGGGCCTCCCTGCCACAGGGGAAGTCACCCACAGGGTCTGCATCTGTGAGGAGGAGAACGATGCGGAGCTCAGACCAAGCACTCTGACGCCCCCTGGGAGTCCTGCGCCCGAGGAACGCACCGCACAGCGGCAGGAGAAAACATCAACGCCATCTGCGCCTGCACCCAGTTTTTACTCCTACCTATACCTGCCTCTACCTGAACTCAGAATCCATCCTCCCAGGAAACCCTAGTCAGCCTCTCCCTTCTTCCTGGAGCCTGCTCACCAGGTACGCAAGCATGCTTGGTACTCTTTTATCTTGAAATCAAACCCCCAAAAAATCTACCGTTCACTTGTTTCTACCGCTACCACCCTGGTTTCTCCTTTCCCTACAGCCAAACTGCAGGACTGATGAAAGATTAAGACTCACAAAGTTGGGGCTGGGAAGGCGGCTCAGTGGTAGAGTGCTTGCCTTGCATGCCTGAGGCCCTGGGTTCGATTCCTCAGCACCACATAAGCAAAAAGAAAAAAGCCGGAAGTGACACTGTGGCTCAAGTGGTAGAGTGCTAGCCTTGAGCTGAAGAGCTGAGGGACAGCGCCCAGGCCCAGAGTTCAGGCCCCACGATCGGACCCTCCCCCCCCCAAAAAAAAAAGACTCACAAAGTTTATTTCTCCCTTTCGAAATATCTTGATAAATACTTATGTCTAATTATAGGGAATTGAGTCCTTTGTGTTGGCGGCGTGGTTTGTTTCCTTTGGGGGAAAGGGGCAAGACTGGAGTTTGAACTCATGGCCTTGACTTGCCTGGAAGGCATTCTAAACTTGAGTCCCACCACCAGCCCCATCCTCCTTGCAAATTCCTTTTTTTTTTTTTATTGTGAAAATACTGTACAGAGGGTTACAATTAGATAATGAATACATTACTTATCAAGCATTGCAGCCTCCTCCTTTGTTTCCCCTCCCCATCCCTTCCCATCCTCCCCCCCCACCTCCTTTCAAATTCTTGACAGAACTTTTCTTCTTTTTCTCGTCCTCTGGCACTGGTCCTAACTGCACAGATCAGACTGGAAGATGGCGTGCCGTGTCCAGTGCTCCTCCCCCTCTCATCTCTACTTCTCTCAGGACTGGAAGATGGCCTTCCTGTACTCCTGCCTTCCTGTACTCCTGTGTGGAACTGGCCTAAAATTATTCTACTTAAAATACCTTTCTGTTTCCTTTCTAGAAGCTGCTGCCACCAGTCTTACTTCCTGTCTGTGTATATTTGTGTTTACTGGGCTGCCACTGTGTCCTCCACTGGGACAGGCGCACCTTGCTGGTCTGGAACCTTCTAGATGAGTGAGCCCAGGGCTGGTGCCAGATCTCACCTGTGCTGTTGGGGAAACAGGCCTTGTGGAATTTGCCCATGTAGAACTCGAGGCCAATGATGGCAAACATGAGGATGGCAAAGAAGAGCAGCAGCCCGATCTGCAGCAGCGGGACCATAGCCTTCATGATGGACTTGAGCACCACCTGCAGACCTGGGGCCAGAGCAAGCGCACAGCGTGGGTCAGAGACCGGGCAGGGGCCGGGGCCGGGGCAGGCACACACAGCACAGCTACGGCCTAAGGAGAGTCAGGGCCCAGCCTGTGCAAAGTGCTGGGAAGTGACTACTGATAGGACTGAAACACAGAGTTGATGGCCCTCAAGGAGGAAACAGCAGGGAATAGTCGGGGAGGAAAGGCAAGAGAGTGAGGTGTATGTAAGGCAGAGCAGACAGTCCTCAGAAACAAAACATGAAGTCTCAGAAAGAAGCAGAGAGATGGGGCTGGGAAGGTGGCTCAGTGGTAGAGCGCTTGCCTTGCATGCCAGAAGCCCTGGGTTCGATTCCTCAGCACCACATAAGCAAAAAGAAAAAAGCCAGAAGTGGCGCTGTGGCTCAAGTGGTAGAGCGCTAGCTTTGAGCTGAAGAGCTGAGGGACAGTGCCCAGGCCAGAGTTCAGGCCCCACGACTGGACCCAAAAAAAAAGAAAGAAAGAAGCAGAGAGAGCAATGTCTCAAAGCAGGGAAGAAGCAGGAAAGGGCTGTCAGAGTATGGAGCCCAGGGCGAGGCGTCTGAACTGTCGGGATCATGGCTTTAACAGCGCTGAGGGAAGAGAGCAATAAATCCTGAAAGGAGAGCCAGGCTGCAGCAGCTCACACCTGTCATCCTCACTACTCAGGCAGCTGGGATCTGAGGATCGATTGCTGTCCCAGGCAGGAAAGTCTGTGAGACTCTTATCTCCAACCTTGAGTTCAGACCCAGGACACACACACACACACACACACACACACACACACACACACTCCTGAAAGGAAAGAGAAGGAAAAGTAGACACACACACACACACACACACACACACACACACACACACACACACACACTCCTGAAAGGAAAGAGAAGGAAAAGTAGACACACACACACTCCTGAAAGGAAAGAGAAGGAAAAGTAGACACACACACACACACACACTCTCCTGAAAGGAAAGAGAAGGAAAAGTAGACACACACACACTCCTGAAAGGAAAGAGAAGGAAAAGTAGACACACACACACACACACACACACACACACACTCCTGAAAGGAAAGAGAAGGAAAAGTAGACACACACACACACACACACACACACACACACACACACACACACACACACACACACACACACTCCTGAAAGGAAAGAGAAGGAAAGGTAGACATACACACACACACACACTCCTGAAAGGAAAGAGAAGGAAAGGTAGACACACACACACACACACACACTCCTGAAAGGAAAGAGAAGGAAAGGTAGACATACACACACACACACACTCCTGAAAGGAAAGAGAAGGAAAGGTAGACACACACACACACACACACACACACACTCCTGAAAGGAAAGAGAAGGAAAAGTAGATACTCCTGAGAGGGAGGAGAGAATCCTAAGAACAGAGAATGCTGGAGGTTAAAAACAGGGAATCCTGAGAGAGAGGGGTAGGGAATCTAAGAGCAAAGAAGAGCAGAGGATCCTGGGAGTGAGGAGCAGGGAATCTTAGAAGGGACCAGCAGGAAGTCCTCAGCAGACTCAACTCCTTGGTAAAATGAAGTAGGTCTACTCTCCTCCAAACCAAGTGGATTTAGCTACTGGCCATAGAGCAAAGAAGAGGTTATACTCCATGACCCCATGGCCGTTTCAATCTGTTCAGAGCAGAACAGGAAGCCAATCAATGGTCTTCCGACAATGGTCTCTGGAGATCTGATCACTAGATCCCTTTCTACCCAGCCCCTTAAGGAAAGCTAAAACCAAACTCCACCTGACTAGAGCTCGGAGGTCAGGGTGGTCAAAGGTTCACAAGGCCCCTTGGCAGTCCTTCTGCTTGTTTCTGAAGTAGCCCATCCCAGTTTTGTTTTGTTTTTTTCCAGTCATGGGGTTTGAATGCTGGGCCTGGGCGCTGTCCCTCAGCTCTTCAGCTCAAGGTGAGCACTCTACCACTTTGAGCCACAGCACCACTTCAGGTTTTCTGGTGGTTAACTGGAGATAAGAGTCTCACGGTCCGGGCGCTGGTGGCTCACGCCTGTAATCCTAGCTACTGAGGAGGCTGAGATCTGAGGAACATGGTTCAAAGGCAGCCCAGGCAGAGAAGTCCGTGAGACTCTTATCTCCAATGGACCACCAGGAAACTGGAAGTGGTGCTGTGGCTCAAGCAGTAGAGCACGTGCCTTGAGCTGAAGAGCGCAGGTATAGCGCCCAGGCCCAGAGTTCAAGTCCCACGACCGACCAAAAAAAGTCTCACGGACTTTCCTGCCCGGGCTGGCTTTGAACCACAGATCTCAGCTCCTGCGTAGCTGGGGTTACAGGCGTGAGCCACTGGCGCCCAGCCCAGAAGCTTTTTTCATGGCAGTCTCAGTTGCCCATGGCCTTACCACGCCTGGGCCAAGACAGGTTGCTTTTTGCTATATGAATATTTTTTTTCTTGTGTGTGTGTGTGTGTGTGTGTGTGTGTGTGTGTGTGTGTGTGTGTGTGTGTGTGTGTGTGTGTGTGTGTGTGTGTGTGTGTGTGTGTGTGTGTGTGTATCCTGGGGCTTGAATTCAGGGCCTGGGCGCTGTCCCTGAGCTTCTTTTCTCAAGGCTAGCGCTCTACCGCTTGAGCCACAGTGCCACCTCTGGCTCTCTTGGTGGTTTATTGAAGATAAGAGTCTCATGGACTTTCCTGCCAGGGTTGGCTTCAAACCCTGATCCTCAGATCTCTGCCTCCTGAGTAGCAAGGATTACAGGTGTGAGCCACGGGCGCCCAAGCTAATCTCTGGGTATTTTCTCAGACATCCTATGGCGGTAGTCATTCTTTCCTCTGTTTTTTGTTTGTTTTTTTATAACCCCAGGAAATAAAGCAAAGAGCCAGAAATACAGTAGTTTGTACAGAGAAACAAAGCTTCTACCTAGGAAAACCAAATCAACACAATTAACAGTCACCCTCTGGGCTTTTGTGGAGAACAGACTGGAAATGGCCTAATGTCCCTTCCTCCTTCCTGGCTCCTTGGGGTTAAATGCAGTAAGCTCAGGGCACAGTTCACTCGTGAAGCATGTACTTAGCATGCAAACAGCTAGGGTTCAATCGCTTGCACACACAGGCAAAAAGTGGCAAGCTCCATGACCCAGGCTAACGGACTTACTACCGAGGAGCTTAACGGTGGCATGCGTGTGGTGAAGCTAAGAGAGGAGGCTGGCATGGGCCTGACTCTCTAGCTGGACTCACTCGGAATCCCAGACACCAGCTTCAGTGGCCTTAGCACACGCACAGCCCTCAGCGTCCGCAGGTCGAAGTCAGTCCCAGCCGTGGCGAGGATCCTAGGAGGAGCGAGCACAGGGATGAGAATTTCCACAACCGAGTCTGGAAGAGAGCACACTCCCCGCACTCCGCATCCTTCCTCCCCAGAGCAGTGACACTTTCTGGCCTGTGTCTCCCACCAGCGAACCCCAGGCCGGGGCCAGGCTTGCCAGACACAGGGAGAGAGAGTCAATGAACCGTAAACTCCTTGCCAGCGATGCCTGACCTCACCTGCACGGACAACCCCCCAGTCTAAAGGCGTCGACTGGGCGCAGACTCTTGGCCACTAGCCAGGGTCTCTTCTCCAACTGAGTCCAAACAAGCCCTAGCACTCCATGACAGGAGACAGGAGGAGGGAGGTGCAGGAGCAGAACAAAGCTTGGGGCTCCTGAGCCAGCACCACTTGTCACCCTCTGCCCCTCTCCTCAGAACAGGGAGATGGGATGGGAGCTGGGAGGGGAGGACGAGGGCTCAGAGCAGCTAGGAAAAACACCATGGAGTGAGGTCAGCAAGAAGACCAGGGTTGCCTGTCATGCACGGCCCTCACCAAAAAAGGTCACAGCAAAGACGAAGCTGCTACATCTGGCTCACGGGAGTGAGGAAGCACACTGGGAGCAGCAGGGAAGCAGCAGGGTTTCTACAGAGCACGAGGCCCACAACCCACGACTGGGAAGAGAGAGAGTCCATCTTCTGCCCTGTCCTCCTAACCCCGACCAACTTGGAAACAGTGAGGAACGGTGAGCTGAAGACCCCAATGTTCCCCGCTGCCCCAGACCACCCCACAGAAGGCTCCGCAGGCCCTCAGCCCGGTGCGGGGAGTTTCCCAGAATCCAGACCACTGCACCGCCACCTGCACGTGACACGCACTCCCCCTGCTCCATGACCTAGGCCGGACAGCAGGACTCCAGCTTCAAACCGCCCACTGCCAGTCATCCTGAGACAGGGCCCAGCTGCCATAGGGCATCTTCATTCTTTTTCAGTAACCGTTGTGCAAAGGCGGTTCAGCTCAACGCGTCAGTTCACGACACTGCACCTCTGAGTGTCACTCCTTCCATCGTTTCCCCCACGCCCCTCAAGCCAACCCGTCATCCCTCAAGTGAGCTGGCGTCACTTCCACATGCGAACGTTGAGTTCTGCTCACCACTTCTGTACTTGCTCACCATTCCTCTCTCCATTCACCTGCCCCTCCTCCCCGTCACTTAGGCCGAGTGCTCACACTTGCAACTCTGCCTCCATCCGCCCTGCTCACACAGGGGCTTACAGTGCCAGGGCTCACACAGCTGCTCAGAGCTTTGCCAGCAGAAAGGCTGAGTGAAAACTACGCAGCTACCCACCCTCCAGAAAGCAGGGCAACCTGCTCCGGAAGGAAGCCAATGCACAGCCAGCCCCACATACCGGGCATGTACCTGTATTTGGCCTGACTGTCAGGCAGTAGTCATTCCCCACCCTCCAAAGAGCCCTCCACACAGCCATCTGCACACACCCACCCCACCCCAGCCCTGCCTGACAGACAGCAACCCCGCCCCACACCCAGAGGACAGCCAGACAGCCAGCCGCAGGCTCAGAGACACAAGCCTAACCCAAGCGCCGGCGGTGGAGTCTCTCCCCTGGACAGCTCCCATACAGCCACTGGACCGTAGTGCCTGCTGGCCCTCAAGGCTCGCCACAGCTAGTCAGGCAACACCTGTGCCCGGGCAAAACCACACCCGCCATCACAGTCACAAGCACCCAGCATAGGCCTCTGACTCCACTCCTAAGGGTGATCGCCAAAGAAACCGCCCAGAAAGCACTCTAAAATGCTGATCCAGAGTGGGGCTAACACACCAATGTCCAGCGGACATGCTTGTACTCATACACAGGAAAAAGATTCTCCATTGGGGTTGAGGTATGGCTCAATTAAAGAAAAATAAAAACACCATATAACTGTAAGGAGCAACAACGACACAAGATATGCAGATATGCAACACCAACATAGAAACCCAAGAAATAAAATAAGTAAGTAAGCTGGGCAATGGTGGCTCACACCTGTAATCCTAGCTACTCAGGAGGCTGAGCTCTGAGGATCACAGTTCAAAACCAGCTTGGGGCCGGGCGCCAATGGCTCATGCCTGTAATCCTAGCTACTTAGGAGGCTGAGATCTGAGAATCTCCGTTCAAAGCCAGCCCAGGCAGGAAAGACAGTGAGACTCCTATCTCCAACAGAAAACTGGAAGTGACGCTGTAGCTCAAGTGGTAGAGCACTCACCTTGAGCTGAAGAGCTGAGGGACAGCGCCCAGGTTCAGAGTTCGAGTCCCAGGAGAATTATCATATAAGGCTGGCCCTGAACAAAAACACAAGACCCTACCAGGAAAATAACCTAACCAAACCAAATCAAGAATGGCAGGGGTGGGGGTGAAGGGGAAGGCTGAAGTGGTAAAGTACCACCCTAAAAAGCACAAGGCCCAGAGTTCAAACCCCAGTGTTAAAAACAAACTTACAGGCAGCCTACTGGGAACTCACTTCCTCAGTAAAGACACATATACAAAAGACAAAGTGAATGCACGGGAAAAGACATTCTATGCAAACAGAAATCAAAAGTAAACATGAATAGCTATACTCATGTAAGACCAAAGAGACTTCAAGTCAGACGGAAGAGAGACAAAGAAAGCTACTGGTCCTAACAATACAACTTCAAAGAACTTAAAAGACAAACCAAACCTATAATTAGTAGAAGAAATGAAATAATGAAATCAGAGCAGAAATAAACACAAAGACCGATGAAATAAGACAGGTCTTTTTGAAGGATAAAAAAGCAACAGGGGTGCTTTGTATGCCCCTCCCCCATGGTATAATCCCTGCTTTCACTATATATGATGTTGGTATATGTGGAGGGGAAGGGAAAAAACAAATCGTTAAAACAGGGATACAAGAGGACCCATTGCAACAATGACATGTACAAATCGTTATGTCGAAAAACTTTACAACTTTGGGGGGGACGGGGGAGAAGAATGCAAAGGGATGGGAAGGGGAAACAAAGGAGGAAGCTACAATGCTTGATAAGAAATGTACTCATTATCTTGCCCATGTAATTGTAACCGCTCTATACAGTATTTTCACAATAAAAAAAATACATTTAAAAAAAAAAAAAGCAACAGGGGCTGGGAAGGTGGCTCAGTGGTAGAGCGCTTGCCTTGCATGCCTGAGGCCCTGGGTTCGATTCCTCAGCACCACATAAGCAAAAAGAAAAAAGCCGGAAATGTTGCTGTGGCTCAAGTGGTAGAGCGCTAGCCTTGAGCTGAAGAGCTGAGGGACAGCGCCCAGGCCCAGAGTTCAAGCCCCATGACCCACAAAAAAAAAAGGAATATTATGAACTGTACACCAACAAATGGCCTAGAAGAAAGTGATAAATTCCTGGATCCAAGTAAACTACCAAGACTGAACTACCAAAAAAAAACAGAAAATCTAACAAGCCAATGACTAGCAATGAAATTAAGTCAATTTTTTTTGTCGGTTGTGGGGTTTGAACTTTGGGCCTGGGTGCTGTCCTTCAGCTCTTCAGCTCAAGGCTAGTGCTCTACCACTTGAGCCACAGCAGCATTTCAGGTTTTTGGTGGTTCACTGGAGATAAGGGTCTCACGGACTTTCAAGACTGGGCTAGGAGTAGCTAGGATTACAGGAGTGAGCCACTATCACCCGGCTGAAACTGAGTCAATATTAATATTTGTCTCCTAATAAAGAAAAGCCTAGGACCAAATGACTTCACTTCTGAATTCTATTAAACTTTTAAGAACCAAAAGCAATTCTTCTCAAACTATTTCAAAAACTGAAAGGAAAGGAATTTTTCTAAACTCTTTTTATGAGACTAGCATTACCTTCATATGGGAAATGGACAAGAACACACACCAAATAAAAGAAAAGAAAGAAAATTACAGACCAACATCTCTGATGAACATTGCAAGCCAAATTCAATTCTTCATGAAAACTATCACACACTGCAGGTGCAGGTGGCTCACGCTTGTCATCCTATCTACTCAGAAGGCTGAGATCTGAGGATCATGGTTTCAAGCCAGCCTGGGCAGGTAAGTCTGTAAGAATATACCTGACCTGAGTCTTGCATTCAGGACCTGGGCCCTGTCTGTCTCAAGGCTAACTGATCCTCTACCACTTGAGCCAAGCTTCCCTTCCAAGTTTTTAATGGGGAGAGTCTCAGGGGCTTTCCTGTCTGGGCTGGCTTTGAATTGTGATTCTCAGATCTCAGCTTCCTGAGTAGCTAGGAGGACAGTAGTGAGCCACCAGCGCCCAGCCAACCCTTTTATTAGGAGCAACACAAACCCCGTCCATATTGGACGTGATCACGTGACCAGCTGCTCCCATCCCTCACCTTGGGCCCCTCGATTCTTTGAGACAATACTGGAATTAAGGCAACTAGCCTCTCGCCTTCATCAAAAGCTAGAAATTACCGAGCTTAGTGAGGAAGGCTTTCAGAAGCTGAGACAGGCCTCTTGTGCCTAACCATCAGCCAAATTGTAAACACAAAGGAAAAGCTCTGGAAAGAAATTACAAGTGCTGCTCCAAGGAACTTCTGACTGATGAGGAGAACGGGACTGAGATGGAGAACGTGCTAGTGGTCTGGAAAGATCACACCAGCCACAGCAGTCCCTTCCATCGAGGTCTAATCTACAGCAGAGCCCTGACTCTCAAGGCTTCTGCGAAAGCTGAGAGCGAGCACTGCCAAAGAAGAGTCTGCAGGCAGCCGCGGCTGAGTCCCACGTGTCTCCAGCCGTCAGGTGACCGCAGAGGCTGCGTGTGGCAAGCCAGCCCCACCCCAGTGAGGTCAGCAGAGCCAAAGTTCTCAGAGCTGAAAAGAAGTCCAGAGTGGCTCCAGCGCTTGCGAGGCACAGGCTGTTAATGGCTAAGGCAGCCAGTGGTTTTAGGTTGAAGCCAAAGGCAAATCACCACTCTGGAAACCCCAGGACCTGAAGCAGCATTCTGGATCTACTATGCCTGTGCTCTATGAATGGAATAATAAAGCCTAGAGAC